TGTGGGTACTCAAATGAAAGCTCTTGATAAGTGTAACATCAGGATGAGCTTATATCTTAAAAAATGTCAATATTTAAGAAAGTACAGTGCAATTTAACAAAATTCATTATTTAATAAAGCAAAATTCTATTTATTTATAGACTAGTTTAATTTAATTTATTATTCTCTGATTTTCTAATCCACTAAAATGGATTTTTGGAAGGGTAAAAAAAATGGAGGAAAATGATAAATTAGCATACAAACTGAAATTAGAGTTACCCTGGGAGTTATGGACTTATGGAAATCCCAGATTGTTTCGGTCAGTGTCTCTCCAGCGGTGGATACCCACGTTGTCTATAATGATGTGGTTAGCTTTGTACGTGATCTAGCATTGGATCCTTAAAGCGTGACAAGCCTTCGACCGATTTCGGAGCCGAAATGATTGATTGATTGATCCTAATGAAAAAGTTACCGAATTAAGGATGCACGCGAGGAATCATGATGGGTGATAGGTGATAGCTCCCTGACGACAGTTGCTTCCGAAGGCAGGTAATTAACCCGATTTGCGTGTAACGAGCAAGATTCTGGGCCCGAATCGGGTCATTAGTTCGAGAGATCGATTTATGCTTGGAACCAACGGGGCACTCTAAATTACTAGAGGAAAACAATAAACCGGAGAGTTTATAGTGCTGCTCGAGGAATACAAGTTTAAGCACAAGTAAAGCAGAAAGAGGAAAACGACCCGTGGCACAGTTTAATTTTCCCGGGAAACGGAAACCTATAGCTTTTCAGTTGAGCTCCTTCTATTGTTTTCCAAGCTTTATAGAAGTCATTATAATTATTCTACACGCCGTTCGAGAAACTCAGTAATCCTCGAGGTATCTTTTTTTAATTACTGCTATCCGCCGTTTCACGGAAAATCGAGTCAAGTTTTCTTTAGAATATTAATAATTGAAAATATTTTATTTTTGGTAAATTTACGACGAAAGGTTCTAGATCAGGTTCTGGAGTATTGATTTAAAAAAAAATTTTTGACAATTGGACCATTTTAAGGCTTGTAGTAACAAAAATAAAATTTTTGAAAAAATTTTGTAGTCAAATTTTGGAAAAATGACTACGAAAAAAAATTTTAAAAAATTACAGAGGTCCCAAACTACCAAATTAAAGTCCCGGGTTTGAATCCCGGGGAGTGTAATTTTTTTTTTTTTTAATTATTTTCGTCTAAAATTCAATTACAGAGCGAAAAAATATTGATATAGCCAAAAAAGAATAGTAGAAAGTACGATAATTAATTGTCAAAGACCTTGAGAGCTCGGATTCCGCTTAATATAATTTTAAGAGTGAAAAGATTGACGACAAGGCAATAAATAAAATAACTGAGAGCCGATTCATACAAAGGAGTATCTTATATCTCATACATTTAAACATTTGTAGATTTATACTTGGTAAAACAGGTTCTTTGTTTGAATAACGTCGAGCGGCTCTCCCTATCCCGCAGCGAGCTAGTCACCATAAGTAATTATATTTATTTATGTCTAGTTTTATTTACAATACTTTTTTGACCCGAATAAGAGACCGATACTTATAAGTGCAAGAGTATGTTTGATATGTATGTTTATATATGTATTGCTCTTGTAACAATTATAAAAATATCAGAATTTACAACCGAATAAGTGAATAACTTGGTGTACAAGGTATGCTAATCAGACACACGATATCCAGATGTATCGATGTATCGATTAGCAGATAAATTAAAACGTCCTGGGTGGCCTGGAATTCATTTAACAGTTTTTTTTTCTGGACCTCAAATAAATTCTGATGTCTATTTCTTTGTAATAATTACTCACTAGTTATTTTATTGTTTAGAAAGAAAAAAAAATTAAATGCAGCCGCCGGGATTTGAACCCAGAATAAAAATATTAGTATTTCAGTTTTTATTTTTGTTACTGCAAGCCTTAAAATGGTCCAATTTCGAAATTTTTTTTTTTAAATCGATACGCCAGAACCTGATCTAGAACTCTTCGTAGTCATTTTTCCAAAATTTCACATCAAAATTTTTTCCAAAATTTTATTTTTGTTACTACAAGCCTTAAAATGGTCCAATTTCAAAATTTTTTTTTTAAATCGATACGCCAGAACCTGATCTAGAACTCTTCGTAGTCATTTTTCCAAAATTTCACATCAAAATTTTTTCCAAAATTTTATCTTTATTTCAATAAGGCTTAGAATTGTACAATTTTCAAAACTTTTTTTCTAAATCGATACTTGTAAACCTGATCCAGAACCCTTCGTAGTAATTATCAAAAAGTCATTTGTCATCCCCATCCAGGTTATCAATGAGCTAGTTGTCTTTGAGACTCTACAAGAAGGGGTGGGGAAAGATCTTGAGGCAAATGACAATACGTCGCTAATCCTCCCTGTGTTTAATCTCAGGGTGACGTGCACACATGACAACATGTCAACATGACATCAACAAGGCATGCTGATAACGCTGATAATGATAAGACCTCCCCCTACTGTTATTGGCTCATCTTTGCTTGTCACTACCCGGTCTCATCCAACTTTGGTGATCTGTTGTTTATTATCATTATTATTATTAGTTCTTGGAGTTTTTAATAGCCCGGAATTAAAACAATCGGCGGATTTAGAAGAGCATAATTTAGTCTGCGGGTAATCGATAGCGTTGTACTGAACTGGCTGGTTTATGTGTCATGCGAGACTCGAGAATTAAAGACCCGTTTGTTCTTCGAGGATTTAACTGTTACCATTTCATGCAAATTACCACATATCTGCATGTTCAACCGCCATTATATTAAGACTTTGTATCATAATTTTAAACCGCATGTCTGATTAATCATCATTATTATTGTCCTTTGTATATTCGGGTTGTGACGGTTTAAAAAAATTTTTTTTAGCTTCTAATTATTAAAAAATAAATTCCTAGTCTTTCAAAAACAATAGAGATAGTTTTAAAAAATAGAATTAGCTCTAATTTATAAAATTAAAAAAAATTTGACAATTCTAAGGCTTGTGGGAACAAAAATAAAATTTTGGAAAAAATTTTGATGTAAAATTTTGGAAAAATTACTACGAAGGGTTCTAGATTAGGTTCAGAGGTATCTATTTAAAAAAAATTTTTCAAAATTGAAGCACTTTAAGGCTTGTGGGAATAATAATAAAATTTTGGAAAAAATTTTGATGTCAAATTTTGAAAAAATGACTATGAAGGGTTCTAGATCAGGTTTTAGCGTATCGATTTAAAAAAAAATTTTTGAAAATTCGACCATTTTAAAGCTTGTAGTAACAAAAATAAAATTTTGGGTAAAATTTTATGTAAAATTTCGCAAAAATAATTAATGACTAATTTTGCACTCACCGTTCCACTCCCGTGCCAGATGGGTCAGCTCGCAATCAGTTAGGGTCTCGTCGCTGGCGTTTCCAGAAGTAGGAGTGTCACTGAGGCCCTCAACTCTGCTGGCGACGTGGTACAATTGTGGCTGTTGATAACTCGCGGTTCCTCTTTTGTGGGCTGTATTGTAGTGGCTGTGGGACTGACCGGGCTGACTTTGGGAGTAGAGACTTTGGGCCTGAGACGGACCTCTGGTCCCAGAGACCCTGGGGTTGTCCTCGCCCTCGGAGCCACTGAGGCTGTAGGCTGGGTGCAGCCGTCCCTTGCCTGGAAAATAAAAATTTGTAATTATTAATTTGAAATTAGAAAAAAATTGTTGCGGATTTTCCCACGATCTACGAGTTATTTTTTTCTTGAAGAGTTTATGCCCGAAATGGACAAAGCAGGTGCTCTTTATGACGGCGATTATCCGCGAAGGTCGGGAGGAAATAATTACTATTAACATTCTGATCCGGTTAAGGACCAAGATATGCGGGCTGTCCTTCTTCGGCGGTTTTCCAAAGCCGGTCTTCGAGAAAAAATTAATTGCCAGACCAGCTGCGCTGCTATTTTTAGTTATTTCTATTTATTATTGCTCAATTGTAACAATAAAAGAGTAAGTGTCATTGTTTAACGTCAGTATAATTGTACTTTTAATTTACTAAAAGTTGAAATTTTCGTAATTTTACTTTTGTTACCACAAGCCTTAAAGTGGTTCAATTTTCAAAAATTTTTTTTTAAATCAATACGCCAGAACATGATCTAGAACCCTCCATAGTCATTTTTTCAAAATTTGACATCAAAATTTTTTCCAAAATTCTATTTTTGCTACTACAAGGTTCAAAATGATCGGACCTTTTAATTTTTTAGTTTAATCAATCCTCCAGAATCTTATCTAGAACCCTTCATTGTCATTTTAAAAAAAATCAATTTAAAAAATTTTTCTTAATTTCTTAATAATATAAATTAATGCTGAATAATTTTAATAATTATTTAAAATAAATATTAAATATCAAACAGTGAAAAGTGAGAGAATAAATTAATTGGGACGTGTAAATAAATGAAATTCAGATACTTGAGTAATTCCATAAATAATAGAGTAATGTTTCATTAAAAGTTGCCGTTTGACCCGGATGTCGCGCAATGTAGTCATTACAGTGACATCAGACCCGAAAAATTAATTAAAGCGCCGGGGGACGTTTGAAATATTTTAAAAATTCCGGGGATTATTTGAAAAAGGCTGGGAGTTAACAAAAAAAAAATATTCGGTAATGGTTACTGCTAATAATAGATTAAAGTTCCATTTGTGTAAACGATTGGGCGGGAAAAAGACGTGGAGGGGGGGGGGAGAGTACGGTCAGAGCATTGTTGCCGAGGACAATGGGCTCTATCATGGATTGGGTAGCTGTGTGAGTGCGTAGTCGATGGAAATAACAAGCCCCTACATTAGAGACAAGGACACATACAAGGCTTAGTTAAATATTTTGTTTTTTATTCATTTTTATTCTGGGGCAGACTTTAAAAGCCCGGAGGCTGCTCGAAAAGCGCGACATTTGTCACAAAATCACCAGCGACCCAAAAGGCGTGAAACGAATTAAACGCCGGGATGAACACAAGCAATATCCAACAATGGACAGAATTAAAATATGGGTGGTGCTAACATCGATCACCTTGTGATTACCGCCGAATAAATCTTTATTCTTTTGGCATAATCCTATGCTTCAGTTGTTTTGACCATTGATTTTACGTCAAAAATTGTTTATTTTTAATTATGGTCGGGAGTAATAAAAATAAAATTTAGAAATATTTTTGATGTTAGATTTTGGAAAAGTGACTATGAAGGGTTCTAGATCAGGATCTGAAGTATTGATTTTGTCTCCAGGATACATAATTACGGAATGACCTTGTATATTGTGAACTATGGACATTTTTAAAGATATAAGCTCATTCTGATGTTACACTCATCGAGACCTTTCATTTGAATACCCATATGAATTTTTCATATATTTTATATATTTATATATACTATATATATGTATATATGAAAAATATATCAAAAATGCATGTGGGTACTTAAATGAAAGCTCTTGATGAGTGTAACATCGGGATGAGCTTATATTTCTATTAACGTCAATATTTAAGAAAATACAATGCAATTTAATTACCAAGATATATATTTGTTCTTGGATTCTTTGGTATCCAAATGTCGCATGTAAATGAAAGGAAGATCAATGAAAATGATCCAATGGGTTTCGAATTTGCATTGCATTTCTTCAATTTTACGTCAACGGCTCTACGAGTCTCTTTCGACTGGGTTCCCGTAAGAGTGGGACGCACAAGGATGAGGATAAGAAGAAGGAGGAGGAGGAGGAGGAGTAGCATCAAAGTCAGAGTCGCGAATCGTATAAAGTTTCACTACCGGATAAAATTTTCTCGCTGAGCTGTAAAAGGACTAAAATAAAATAAAATAAAATAAAATCGTGGAAAAGTGAGCAAGGATCCGAAACGGATATAGATGTAGACATAAAAGAGCTTATGAGCTTCATTACCAAGAATTTATTATTTTTCGTTGACTTGTCACTTTTTGAGAAATTTATAAATTTTTTTAGGGCGCAATGGAGTTGTCCTACCTAGGCTTTTCCGGGACCGGAAATGACATTCTCAAGCAATGGAAGATGGAACCGCAAGATCATTTCCATCCATTTATTATTCAATTCAATAACCACCGGCGAAAAAGGGGTGGGAGAACCGCAGGATGCCTGAGCTTTAACACTCAACACTTGCGATCTCCCTCGAGTCAGACTCAAAATGAATAAAACCGCCCCGGGCAGTTAATAACTTCATCATTTCGTTTTCAATATCTTATATAAGTTCTAGAATGCCCCGGCACTTTTTCCAACCACTTAGCCATTCACGTTTCTGCCTTTTTGCCTATTCATTGGTAATCAATGCTCATTTATGCACTTTTTCTTGGTTTTAATGCTTCGGATTTACTGGGATTACGCTTAATTTATATTATTTCAAGCTTAATTCACAGTATTTAAGCTTATCTAGAACCCTTCGTGGTCATTTTTTTAAAAAATCCATTTTTGGAATTTTTTCAAAATTTTATTTTTGTTACTAAAAGCCTTAGACTTGTCCAATTTTAAAAAATTTTTTTTTTAATCGATACGCCAGAACCTGATCTAGAACTCTTCGTAGTTATTTTTCCAAAATCTGACATCAAAATTTTTTCCAAAATTTTATTTTTGTTACTACAATGTTAAAAATGGTCCAATTGATAAAATTTTTTTTTAAATCAATACTCTAGAATCTTATCTAGAACCCTTCATAGTCACTTTTTAAAAATTTGACATCAAAATTTTTTCCAAAATTTTATTTTTGTTACTACAAGCCTTAATATGGTCAAATTAAAAAAATTTTTCCTCTAATTGATACTTCTAAACCTGATCTAGAACCCTTCGTAGTAATTTTTCTAAAATCTGACATCAAAAATATTTCTAAAATAAAAGCCCATAAATAACGAAACTGAAAAAAAATGACAAATCCAATCACCTCTGAAGCATTTATAACAATTTGATTTTTTATCCGGTGATTAATAAAAACTAAAAAAGCTGTTGCATGTAAAAAATTTTGGTCGTCGCCGGTGAAGCTCATTAATCTGAGCGGCACACGATATCGACGGATGTGTCCATATTTTACAAAACATCTGGCCTAGAAATGTATAAACCAACAGAGGTAAAAAATCTGCCGGAAGCTTGCAAAAAAACAACTCTATTTTAATGTAAATTTTATTTTGTTAAAAAAAAAAAAATAAAACGCAATATTTATATTGATAATAATGTTTTTTATAATTTAAAAAATGAGGTCGGTATTTTTATTAACACCTTTTATTTGTCTTGAAGAAAAATAAAGGCATAAAAGAATTTATTTTATTTTATTGTAAAATATTATTTATGAAAACGCTTTCTATTTAATCCAGCGCAATCTCGTTAGATGAAAACCGCTCTATAGAACGGAATTTTCTTTCAGCACACGCAGCTCACCAACACACACAGGTCACTGAAGTTCACAATATTTATATTTTTCTTTTTAAAGCTTTAACTGGGTCGCTGGCTTTCAAAAACTCAGCTCAAAATATATTTATGCAGTCGCTAAATTAAAGTACTTCTGATCTAGGCCAAATTTAAACTTTTCCTCGCTTCCAATTGTCCGATTGCTTTCCTAAATTTTTTTAATTAAGCCCACACTGTCCTACTTACCCCTTTTCACCCCCTCCAGCTTCTAAAAGTCATAAAAAAAATTTATTTCATTCAATAAACGTCAAAACTTTTTTTCCGTTTATAGGTGTTATTTTTCGGAACTTTTCAAGCCGCCATAACTCGGAAAATAATGGACGTATAAAAATTTTCAATGAGTCAAAATTTACGGCAAATCAAAATCCCTATCCGATAAGCCCAAAGCCGTTCAAATTGGACCGGAAGTTTCCGTGAAATATCAAAAAAAAAATTTTTTTTTGGTTTTCCCGCCTTTTTTTCGGAACTTTTCAAACCGCCATAACTCGGAAAGTAATGGTTCTATCAAAATTTTCAATCAGTCAAAATTTACGGGGAATCAAAATCCCTATCCAGTAAGCTCAAAGCCGTTCAAATTGGACCGGAAGTTAACGTGTAATATCAAAAAGAAATTTTTTTCTGCAGCTGCAAAATTTTGAACCAAAATTTTTTTTTTTTTTTTTTTTTTTTTTTTATTGAATAAGTCTCGATTGGTAGCAAGAGTGAGGCAATATTGACACGGTAAGATTTTTAATAAAAAATGAGAATTGAATCGAATTGAAGATAGATATAAATATTTATCCTCGGGTTATGAAAGGCACTCATGCTCATGTCCTGTGTACAAAGGGTAAGGTTATATGTTGTAACGAAGGTCAGCGGAGATGCCCGAGAGTAAAATGCGCGCGACGCACCAGATCAATACGACAAACATGCTGATGTTTCACCTCCAAAATTATCCTTACAAATTACCCGATAAAAATTTAATTAACCTCTAATCCTTTTTTTAACAAAATTCAATTTATTTATTTTTTATTCGATGCGTTAAAATTTGATTTATAATTTTTTTTAATTATAAAAAAATTAGAGCCAAAAATTAAATAAATTATAAATTTTCCAAAATTTATTTTTTCAAAATTATTTAAAAAAAAAAATAAAATTAACCTCGAATATAGAAAGAGTGGCCAATAAAAGAGAATTTTTACTATAACGGGCATTAAAATATTTTCTTATGAAGAAATGCAAATAGGTCTTTAAAAAATCTTGCGTAATTAAAAAAGAAAGAATGCGCTTAATTCTATGTGACTAGAGTTATTAAAAATTCCTGAGAGCACCGAGTTTACCTTGTAAACTCATAATATTTTCTCGAGAGATATTTTCATATCCCCAACCCTATTTTTTTTTTTTTTATTTTTCCATACGTCGTTTTCTCATAAACTAAAAAAAAAAAAAAATTACAATTACATTATTTCATCTTGCGCTCTTTTATATTCAAATTACATCGATCTTGTTATTTTAGGTATTAAATATAAAAAAGTGATGTATCATCAGTGGAGTTAATATTTTCAACTCCTCGATTAAATTTTCCCGAGGTAAGAACCCAGAAAAGGACCAGAATCCCCCAGAGCCTCGGGATAATCCTCTAGCCAATTATTTCAGCTGGCTCGAGTTTTCTAATTCGCGACGAAATAAGGCTTAACTCAAACTGAAACGTTAGTTGAAATAAAAATTAAAATATTCTAACTCTTACAGATCCGAGTAATCCTCTGATGAATCCTTACCAAGTCACCATCAGTCCTTTTGCTTTAATCTTTCAATTGATACGACAAAAATGGTGACCTTATATTTTTATTTTTTAAAAAA